GTAGTCAGCTCAGCTTTCCCCATTGTGACCGTGTCTGTGCCTCGATCTAGGTCGGGCAAAACTAAACATGGCAGTGTTCGCCCTAGCAACCTCACTGGAATAAAGACCTCCATTCCTGTCATTATTGAAAGAGATTGTGATAATATCTCACATCTCAAAATAGGACTACTTAATGTTAGATCCCTCACTTCTAAGGCAGTCATAGTCAATGAACTAATCACTGACCATAGCCTTGATGTGATTGGCCTGACTGAAACATGGCTCAAGCCTAATGAATTGATTGTGTTAAATGAGGCCTCTCTTCCTGGTTACACTAATGACCATATCCCCTGCGCATCCCGCAAAGGTGGAGGTGTTACTAACATTTACGACAGCAAAAAAGACTGAGTTTTTGTCTTTTGAGTGTCTAGTCATGAAATCTATGCAGCCTACTCAATCACTTTTTATAGCTACTGTTTACAGGCCTCCTGGGTCGTATACAGCGTTCCTCACTGAGTTCCCTGAATTCCTATCGGAGCTTGTAGTCATGGCAGATAATATTCTAATTTTTGGTGACTTCAATACTTCAACTACTGAAAGAGCTACTAATTCTACTGAAAGAGCTACTAATTCTCCCATCTCTCTCTCTCTCTCTCTCTCTCTCTCTCTCTCTCTCTCTCTCTCTCTCTCTCTCTCTCTCTCTCTCTCTCTCTCTCGCTCTAGCTCTCTATCTCTCTCACTCGCTCTATTTCTCTATCTTTCTCTCGCTCTCTCACGGTCACAGGACACTCACACACACACACACATACATCAGGATACAACATTACCTTGACATTCACTTTCTAAAACTCACCAACATAAACACAGACACAGTGACAAACAAGCACATACAGTACTTTTTCATGCATACACTCTCTCTCTCTCTCTCTCTCTGTCTCTGTCTCTCTCTCTCTCTCTCTCTCATCCCTGAGGACCTGAGCCCTAGGACCATGCCTCAGGACTATCTGGCCTGATGACTCCTGGCTGTGGCCGTCTCCAGTCAACCTAGTCGTGCTGCTGATCCAGTTTCTGCTATTTTGCCTGTGGCTATGGAACCCTGACCTGTTCACCAGACATGCTACCTGGTCCAGGACCTTTCTAGGCAGTTTTTCCTAGCCACCGTGCTTCTACATCTGCATTGCTTGCTGTTTGCTGTTTTAGGCTGGTTTTCTGTATAAGCACTTTGTGACATCTGCTGATATAAAAAGGGCTTTATAAATACATTTGATTGGATTTGATTTGATACTCTACACCAGTACTTTACACCAGTACTTTACACCAGTACTCTACACCAGTACTTTACACCAGTACTCTACACCAGTACTTTACACCAGTACCTTACACCAGTACTTTACACGAGTATGCTACACCAGTACTTTACACTAGTATTCTACACCTGTACTCTACACAAGTACTTGACACCAGTATTTTACACCAGTACTTTACACGAGTATGCTACACCAGTACTTTACACCAGTACTCTACACCAGTACTCTACACCAGTACTCTACACCAGTACTTTACATGAGTACGCTACACCAGTACTTTACACCAGTACTCTACACCAGTACTTTACATGAGTACGCTACACCAGTACTTTACACCAGTACTCTACACCAGTACTTTACACCAGTACGCTACATCAGTACTTTACACCAGTACTCTACACCAGTACTTTACACCAGTACTCTACACCAGTACTTTACACAAGTACGCTACACCAGTACTTTACACCAGTACTCTACACCAGTACTTTACATGAGTACGCTACACCAGTACTTTACACCAGTACTCTACACCAGTACTTTACATGAGTACGCTACACCAGTACTTTACACCAGTACTCTACACCAGTACTTTACACCAGTACGCTACATCAGTACTTTACACCAGTACTCTACACCAGTACTTTACACCAGTACTCTACACCAGTACTTTACACAAGTACGCTACACCAGTACTTTACACGAGTACGCTACACCAGTACTTTACACCAGTACTCTACACCAGTACTTTACATGAGTACGCTACACCAGTACTTTACACCAGTACTCTACACCAGTACTTTACACCAGTACGCTACATCAGTACTTTACACCAGTACTCTACACCAGTACTTTACACCAGTACTCTACACCAGTACTTTACACGAGTACGCTACACCAGTACTCTACACCAGTACGCTACACCAGTACTCTACACCAATACTCTGTGTGCCACTACTACTATTGTCCCTCAGATTCATGAAGCAAGGATATGCATGATCAACTCCACATTAAGACTAGTAAATAAGAATATTCCAGACTCCTGCCCCACTCAATGCACGCACACACACGCACACACACACGCACAAACACTAATTCCTCCCTCCTTCCCCAATCCCCAGCCCCCATGTAATTGCTCTGGTGAGAGAGAGAGCGAGAGAGAGAGAGAGAGAGAGAGAGAGAGAGAGAGAGAGAGAGAGAGAGAGAGAGAGAGAGAGAGAGAGAGAGAGAGAGAGTGGTGGGAACCTGTGCTGGAGAGGCATGGGGGGCAGGGGGGACATGTTTAGAAGTGTTGCAGTAATCGCTCCCCACATCACAGCAGTGGCCCGGGGTAAATATGTGATTATGATAATAGCAGTAAACACAATAACTAAAAATCATTAAGTGAAGGAATGTACAATGCCAGACAGGACCTAATATGGCTGCCGAGTTTCCCAGACTATGATGGGAAAACAGGAAGCTATGTCTCCTCAGAAACTCTGCAGAGAAAAATACCTTTGTTCACTACTTTGTGTCTATTACTGTGTAGATCCACAAGACTATGTCAAGTCCCAAATAGCACCCTATTACCTATACTGTATATAGTGCACTACTTTTGACTAGAGCCCTATGGTCATAAGTAGTGCACTATAAAGGGAATAGTGTGCCATTTAGGATGTGATGTTAAAAGGACCTCAAACAACAGTCCTCTCTCAATGCACTCACCTTTTTGTCTGGTAAATATATTGACAATAAACAGGCTGTTTTACCCTTTAAAGGTTGTGTTCTGCTGTTGTCTTTGTGTTTGATACAAAGCAGAGCGGGAACAGTCTAAATATCAGTCAGGAGGTTTGACATTCATTCTCCTTCTCAGTGAATGGGTTTCAGGGCCTGCTGGCTTGCCTTGTGAAGGTCACTGTTAATCTGTATTAGACAGGGTCATGACTGATGTAGCCTAGTTCAGGACTAACTGAAAGGTGAAAGGACTGAAAGGTAACTACTTACTCTCACACACACACACACACACACACACACAAATTCCCTGCAGGATGTGTACCCTAGTGGTCTCTACTGGAAGTCACACCAGCTACACCCACAATTATATATTATATCGACAAGATAGTTGAGTGACCGCTCTAACAATGGAAATACATGTCCTCAAACATGGAAGTCAGGCGGGAGGAGGCGAGATCAGTTTGGACCATTCTAGCCAATGAGAGGGCAAATACATGTGTGAACAACAGGCACAACTCTGATATAAAGTAGTTTTTTTTTCTCCAAAGTTGCCGAAATTCCATGTGCGTCCACTTATATCAGTGCATTCGTAACAACCTAACCATTAGGAAACTTCTACTCAATCAAATAAGCCTCACGTAGCAAATTAGAAATTAAATGTTTTGTTGACCAAATTCAACACTCTCTCATCGACCTCCATACAAAAATTCCGTGGTCTTATTTTCGTGGAGAGATTTTGGGCGGAGTAAACCCTCTTGCTTCGCCTCTTCCTCTCTGGCTACACTCAGCCCATCTCCCAGCAGGACAGGAAGTGAGTGGACATCCTGCCAACAGAGGACACTTCCTCTCTTTACAGTGAGCTAATTATAGCCTGATTTACAGTATCAGCTGGACTGGCTTCTCTCAATGGGATAGAATGAGAATAATCTCTTTATTTTCCCCTGTTATCCTGTTGTCCCAGACCAAAATAACCTAAACAGGACAATGAACACCAATGAACACACAATTAATCTTACCAAACTCCTATCTTCTCCATATTAAGTTACCTATTCTTCTATAGTCTATATGGTTCCTGCACCTAGCCAAATCCCCCCCATGCCTTATCTTTCAGTATTACATAATGCAACCATGTGCACATTATCAGTGGAGAGGCCAGGTGCAGAGGGTATAGTGGGGGTTATAACAGTGAGGGTATAATTAAGCAATAAGGCCTGAGGGGGTATGGTATATTGCCAATTTACCACAGCTAAGGGCTGTTCTTATGCGCGACACAACGCATAGTGCCTTGATACAGCCATTAGCCATGGTATATTGGCCATATACCACAAACACCAAAGGTGACTTATTGCTATTATAAACTGGTTACCAACGTAATTAGAGCAGTAGAAATAAATGTTTTGTCAGCCAATCAGCATCCAGGAGCCAAATTACCCAGTTTATAATAGGTTATGCATGCCAGTTTAGGATTCCACCCTGCCTCTGAACCCTGTCCAGCAACAATCCCAGCTCTGGTGTTTGGGTTTACACTGGGTCTTCATTCCAACCAAGCAGAAACATATCTCGCTCTCTCTCTTTCTTTCTTTCTCTCTCTTTCTTTCTCTCTATATTTCTTTCTTTCTTTATATCTCTCTCTCTCACTTTCTCCCACTCACACACACACAAACATACACACAGACACGCACGCATGCATGCATACACACACCCACACACATCCACTCTCACACACACACACACACACACACACACACACACACACACACACACACACACACACACACACACACACACACACACACACATACACACACACACACACACACACACACACACAAAGTAACATAGTGTAAATGTACCTTGTGATGTTCCACTCATCTCCCAATGTCCTTCTCCTGGCCCCAGGTAAGAGAACGCTGGGAAACTTTTCACTGGGGAAGAACGAAGATGTCTATTCAGATATAATAGCGCACACACATCTTTAATAAAAAGGCACTCTCTCTTACCATAGGGCGTTGGAGGAGAGATAGGAAATGCTGGTGTGGACGGGACTATGTCACAGCTGTCCGTCACTGGAGTCGGTCTTTCATAGTCCACACTGTCCATCCTGGAGAGACGACCACACTGTAACACAGACACACCAGACAGATAGACAGACAGGCAGACAGGCAGACAGGCAGACAGACAGGCAGACAGGCGGACAGGCAGACAGACAGGCAGACAGGCGGACAGACAGGCAGACAGACAGGCAGGCAGACAGACAGGCGGACAGACAGACAGACAGACAGACAGACAGACAGACAGACAGACAGACAGACAGACAGACAGACAGACAGACAGACAGACAGACAGACAGACAGACAGACAGGCAGGCAGGCAGACAGACAGGCAGACAGGCAGACAGGCAGACAGGCGGACAGACAGGCAGACAGACATCAGTCTTGTGATCAGTGTGTGTGGCTACTCTCTGTATTTTAATGTAAACAGGAAGGCCATTCATGCTGCCCTGCCATGAGAATGGGTGTGAGAGCAGGGCTGTGTCCCAAATGGCACCCTATTCTCTATATAGTGCACTACTTTTACCAGGGCCCGCATAGGGCTCCAGCCCAAATAGTGCATTATATATGGAATTGGGTGCCATTTGGGACGCAGCCAAGGAATCTCAGCTATTTAGATAAACGGCCTGACCACTACAGTTCTGCTTCACACCAACTAACACATGAACTACTGTACTATAAAGGGAATTCAATGTAAATTAATCATGAACATAATCAGCTGATTTTAAGGTAGATTAACCATGAACATAGCCAGTTGTTTTTAAGGTAGATTAACCATGAACATAGCCAGTTGTTTTTAAGGTAGATTAACCATGAACATAGCCAGTTGTTTTTAAGGTAGATTAACCATGAACATAGCCAGTTGTTTTTAAGGTAGATTAACCATGAACATAGGCAGGTGTTTTTAAAGTAGATTAACCATGAACATAGCCAGGTGTTTTTAAGGTAGACTAATCATGAACATAGCCAGGTGTTTTTAAGGTAGATTAATCATGAACATAGCCAGGTGTTTTTAAGGTAGATTAACCATGAACATAGCCAGGTGTTTTTAAGGTCGATTAATCCTGTACATAGCCAGGTGTTTTTAAGGTAGATTAACCATGAACATAGCCAGGTGTTTTTAAGGTCGATTAATCCTGAACATAGCCAGGTGTTTTTAAGGTAGATTAACCATGAACATAGCCAGGTGTTTTTAAGGTCGATTAATCTTGAACATAGCCAGGTGTTTTTACTAACCGCATGATCATGATCAGGGAAAAAACTCCTAGCGTAATGACTACTACATGACTATTGAGTATGTATGTGGTATAACAGTTGAGTAACCAGTAGGGGCTGGTAGAGGGGTGTGTGTGTACCTGGGAGGGCTGTAGGTTGGGGTGCTGTGTGTGTGTGTGTGTGTGTGTGTGTGTGTGTGTGTGTGTGTGTGTGTGTGTGTGTGTGTGTGTGTGTGTGTGTGTGTGTGTGTGTGTGTGTGTGTGTGTGTGTGCGTGCGTGCGTGCGTGCGTGCGTGCGTGCGTGCGTTCATGTGTGTGTGTGTGTGTGTGTGTGTGTGTGTGTGTGTGTGTGTGTGTACCTGGGAGGGAGGTAGGTTGGGCCTGTTGATCAGAGAGTTCTGGAATGTCTGGGCTCTGCCCCAACCAGGATTGTAGAATCCTGGGTAATCTGTGACATCACTGGCCTGTCTGTGCTTCCAGCCTGAAGATAGATACAGAGAGAGAGAGGAGAGAGAGAGAGAGAGAGAGAGAGAGAGAGAGAGAGAGAGAGAGAGAGAGAGAGAGGGAAGAGACAGACAGAGAGAGTGAATTGATTAAAAAAAAATGTAAAAATGTAAAAATGTAAAAATGTACATTACAACAACAGGAGTGCAGTTAAGCATGTACCTCAGAGCTACCTGATCAGTTGGACCCAGTCCCAGACAGATGGAATAGGAACATCATTGAAATGTTTGGGAATGTAGCATGAAGAGAGTATGTGTCGGTATCTACCACAGAGAGTAATCACCCATCCCCAAATCCAGTTCAGGTGTTTTGGAAACCCTGCGCTCCAGGGAAGACCTGCTCCGATTACAGAATGACTTTAATTCCAGACACCCTTCCGAACATCCCACTGAGGGCCTCGCAGAAACTCACAGTGATTCATATTGCCATGACAGGCAGATTCATATCGCAATGACAGCAAGCTTTGAAGTGATGCAGAGGAAGGGAGAAGCCATTGAGTAGCAACGCGCATGCCCCACCCACCTGAGGATGTATTTTTCAGTTTCCTGTGTTTGAGGGGTGCAAAATCCACTTGTCACTTAAATCTCGCTGGATTGATTGCTTTCATTTTACTCCTGTGACTCTTTTATACTCTTGCTTGTGCCTGTCATTTTTTCCCATTAACGTTACGAACGTGGAAATGTTTGTAATGACCTGTCAAACAAACCCCAGTAATGTACTCCTGAGTGGCGCAGTGGTCTAAGGCACTGCATTGCAGTGCTAGCTGTGTCACTAGAGATCCTGGTTTGAATCCAGGCTCTGTCGTAGCCGGCCACGACCGGGAGACCCATGGGGTGGCGCACAATTGGCCCAGTGTCGTCCAGGGTAGGGGAGGGAATGACCGGCAGGGATGTAGAGCATGGCGTTTGCAACGGCAGGGTTGTGGGTTCGATTCCCACAGGGGGCCAGTATGAAAAAATTGAAAAAGAATGTATGCACTCACTAACTGTAAGTCACTCTGGATAAGAGCGTCTGCTAAATGACTGTAAATGTAATGGCTGAAATGGGCTCAATGGGATACATTGGCTTTCCGTTGAATCTATAAGAACGCTAAAGCTTCGTCAGGGATTTAAAGCACCATCTCAACAGAAGAAAGATAAAAAAAATAATGGGTGTACTTTTTGGTGGAATAAAAGAAAAGTAATATTTTATACAGTTGAAATGTTTACAAATTAGATGCGCTGAAATGAAAGCAACTTCTGAAAATGAACACTTGGATTATAGTTATGTCTGATCTTGCAAAGAATGTAAAGTATGTTTAGATTGGTGTAATATAGAGACAAGCATGTGGATTTTTTATCCGAGGGTATCCTGCTATTGACACACTTGAATTATGGCAGAGAACGTGACAACAACAGTAATTAATTAGGCAGTCTAGACAGTTCAGGTAAGTGCAGGTAGGGTAGACAGAGCAAGTGTTTGGTGGTTGCAGCCATGCTCCTCCCCTTTATGTTAATTCACATGCATATGCAAATACACCCTGTGTTTATGCAAATGAGGGAGTGTACCGTTTCAACTCAGACAGCAGTAAAACAATGATTTGATGGAGGTTTCAGAAGACATAAAATGTCTTTGATTCTACATTTTACCTTCGTTATCTAAATAATGCAGAAACAAGTGGTGCTAACTTTGCCACATAAAGTTCAATAAAAACACCATTAAAACAGCTAGAATATTTTAGGCCTGAGCAGTATACATGCAAGTAACCTGGTGTGTTTGATGAGTGTCATTCCTCAATGTCTCAGGCAGCAATTATCTGATCCATATATTGTGATGTGTTCTGCTCTGTGGAAAAAGGCACCGCCTCAGGATGGAGAGAAGAAAGGAGGAATGAAAACACGTCTGACTGTGAGCTAAATCGTAGTCACACACTTCAAAGCATGTGTGGACGTGTTTATATGTGTGTGTGTTTGCGCGCGCGTGTGTGTGTGTGTAACTAGGATTTAAGACAAGAGGTCAGTGAAAAGCGACCCCACGACCGTTCATCACAACACGTCAACCCACCAACTATTATTATTAACCTGTGAACTGTGGCAGGTTTCTAGGCCAAACTGACTGAGTAAGAGGAAAGAGGACTGTTTTGTAGGGGATGGAGGGATGGAGGGATGGAGGGATGGAGGGATGGAGGAATGGAGGGAGGAGGAATGGAGGGATAATGGGATGGAGGGATGATGGGATGGAGGGATGATGGGATGGAGGGATGGAGGGATGGAGGGATGGAGGGATGGAGGGATATGGGATGGAGGGATGGAGGGATGGGGGATGGAGGGATGGAGGGATGATGGGATGGAGGGATGATGGGGATGGAGGGATGGAGGGATGGAGGGATGGCGGGGGTATGATTGGATGGAGGATGGAGGGATGGAGGGATGATGGGATGGAGGGATGGAGGGATGGAGGGATGGAGGGATGGAGGGATGATGGGATGGAGGGATGGAGGTATGATGGGATGGAGGGATGGAGGGATGAGGGATGATGGGATGGAGGGATGGAGGTATGATGGGATGGAGGGATGGAGGGATGGAGGGATGGAGGTTGATGGGATGGAGGATGAGGGATGGAGGGATGATGGATGGAGGGATGGAGGGAATGAGGGATGGAGGGATGGAGTGATGAGGGATGATGGGATGGTGGAGGGATGAGGGATGGAGGTTATGATGGGATGGAGGATGGGGGATGATGGGATGAGGGATGGAGGATGGAGGGATGATGGATGGAGGGATGGGGATGGATGGAGGGATGATGGGATGGAGGGATGGAGGGATGGAGGGATGGAGGGATGATGGGATGGAGGGATGATGGGATGGAGGGATGGAGGGATGGAGGGATGATGGGATGGAGGGATGGAGGGATGATGGGAGCGAGAGGGAGGAGAGGGAACATCTGCTTCTTATGCAGAGAGTGGAAGAAATGGTAAAGGAGGTGATGACATCACTCAGAGAGGACATATAGTGCCTTGCAAAAGTATTCATCCCCCTTGGCGTTTTTCCTATTTTGTTGCATTACAACCTGTAATTGAAATTGATTTTTTTGGGGATTTCATCTAAAGGACATACACAAAATAGTCGAAATTGGTGAAATGAAATGAAAAAAATTACTTGTTTCAAAAAATTCTAAAAAAGTCATGATGGAAAAGTGGTGCACCCCTGGCCCAACCCAATTACCTTCAGAAGTCACATAATCAGTTAAATAAAGTCCACTGGTGTGCAATCTAAGTTTCACATGATCTCAGTATATATACACCTGTTCTGAAAGGCCCCAGAGTCTGCAACACCACTAAGCAAGGGGCACCACCAAGCAAGCGGCACCATGAAGACCAAGGAGCTCTCCAAACAGGTCAGGGACAAAGTTGTGGAGAAGTACAGATCAGGGTTGGGTTATAAAAAAATATCACAAACTTTGAACATCCCACGGAGCACCATTAAATCCATTATTAAAAAATGGAAATAATATGGCACCACAACAAACCTGCCAAGAGAGGGCAGCCCACCAAAACTCACAGACCAGGCAAGGAGGGCATTAATCAGAGAGGCAACAAAGAGACCAAAGATAACCATGAAGGAGCTGCAAAGCTCCACAGCGGAGATTGGAGTATCTGTCCATAGGACCATTTTAAGCCACTCCACAGAGCTGGGCTTTACGGAAGAGTGGCCAGAAAAAAGCCATTGCTTAAAGAAAAAAATAAGCAAACACGTTTGGTGTTCGCCAAAAGGCATGTGGGAGACTCCCCAAACATATGGAAGAAGGTACTCTGGTCAGATGAGACTAAAATTGAGCCTTTTGGCCATCAAGGAAAACGCTATGTCTGGCGCAAACCCAAAACCTCTCATCACCCCGAGAACACCATCCCCAAAGTGAAGCATGGTGGTGGCAGCATCATGCTGTGCGAATGTTTTTCATCGGCAGGGACTGGGAAACTGGTCAGAATTGAAGGAATGATGGATGGTGCTAAATACAGGGAAATTCTTGAGGGAAACCTGTTTCAGTGTTCCAGAGATTTGAGACTGGGAAGGAGGTTCACCTTCCAGCAGGACAATGACCCTAAGCATACTGCTAAAGCAACACTGGAGTGGTTTAAGGGGAAACATTTAAATGTCTTGGAATGGCCTAGTCAAAGCCCAGACCTCAATCCAATTGAGAATATGTGGTATGACTTAAAGATTGCTGTACACCAGCGGAACCCATCCAACTTGAAGGAGCTGGAGCAGTTTTGCCTTGAAGAATGGGCAAAAATCCAAGTGGCTAGATGTGCCAAGCTTATAGAGACATACCCCAAGAGACTTGCAGCTGTAATTGCTGCAAAAGGTAGATAGTTATGCACGCTCACGTTTTCTGTTTTTTTGTCTTATTTCTTGTTTGTTTCACAATAAAAAATATTTTGCATCTCCAAAGTGGTAGGGATGTTGTGTAAATCAAATGATACAAACCCCCCCAAAATCCATTAAAATTCCAGGTTGTAAGGCAACAAAATAGGAAAAATGACAAGGGGGGTGAATATTTTCGCAAGCCACTGTACATATATCCTTTCCTCCACATCAAACACTCATCCAAAATGGCAAACTATAAAATGCAAAGGGCCCCGTACGGCACTGGTCAAAAGTAGTGCACTACATAGGGAATAGAGTGCCATTTAGGACTCAACCAGAGACATGTCAGATGCACACAGAGGTCAGAGGTGACAGCAGGTATGTGCTTTGCTCTACTGGGTCGACCCCAGCAGTAGTACTGGGGATATGACACATCATCAATCCATCACACAAAATGGCCAGGGTCAGGACTCATATACACACACATATACACACACAAACACATACACTCCCGTGTGGCGCAGTGGTCTAAGGTGACACTAGAGATCCTGGTTCGAATCCAGGCTCTGTCGTAGCCGACTGGGAGACCCATGGGGCGGCGCACAATTGGCCCAGGGTAGGGGAGGGAATGGCCGGCAGGGATGTAGCTCAGTTGGTAGAGCATGGCGTTTGTAACGCCAGGGTTGTGGGTTCGATTCCCACGGGGGGCCAGTATGAAAAATAATGTATGCACTCACTAACTGTAAGTTGCTCTGGATAAGAGTGTCTGCTAAATATGTAAAAAAAATATACTTTATCTCTTATGATCCAACTTTTGGACATTCTCATGTTTTTCTTAATTCCCGTGTGTTTTTTCCTTTATATTATTTCTCTAACCTTGATATTGAATACTGCATTGTTGGAAAATAGCTTTTAAGAAAGCATTTCACTGTACTGTTTTACGCCTGCTGTATCCTGTGCATGTGACAAATAAACTTGAAATAAACACACAGGACAGGACTAGCAGGGGGTAACTAGGAAGGTAGGTAGGGAGTGGAACAAACACCTCACTAATTCATTTTTTTAACCTTTACACCACCAGTTAGTTTGTCACAGTATCCCCTTGTCCTAAAACATACAGTATGTACAGTACAGTACAGTACAGTACAGTACAGTAAAGTAAAGTACAGTACAGTACAGTACAGTACATACAGTGCATACAGTACATACAGTAATATACAGTACATACAGTAATACACAGTACATACGCACAGCACAGTACATACAGTACAGTTCAGTACCACCTGCAACAGCTAAAGCTATGTTTGATTGTACTCCTGGCTGTGAAGACATTTCTTCCAGTCACTTAAAAAATATGTTAAAGATGTTAGTTTGCCATTTCCTGTACTGTACTTATGAGGCCCTGATTTTACACTGCTTATATAGAAGTATCTATTACTGCCTTAAGTCAAACTTTTACACCCACTCAGCAAACACAGTGGACAAGCCCTGGACCACGCCAGACTTCCCTTGGTTAGAAGGGTAGTTTCACAGCCAGCCAGGGTTACATTAAGGTGAATAAAGTGTCTGTGTTGAACTCTGCTTTGAGAACGTGCCCAAACCTAGCTCTTTACATGCACCACTCTGTCTAAACATCTGAAAGCTGGAACAACTTTATTTTTTTTAGCCTGGCATCTGGCATCATGTCACTGAGTCAGACAGACAGACAGACAGACAGACAGAGGGCTGTTGTACGGTATGTCTCTGAGGGATTCCACTGGAACTCTTTAACAGTAGAGCTGTAATGTACAAGCCCACTGTTGATCTGTTTCCCTTACATTTCCTTCAGTAACCATGTCTCCTAAACTGCTAATTGTACTGTTACTGAGGACATTTGACTGGAATATGGGAGGGACTAAACCTTCCCTTGTGATTCTACTGTATCTCAAATACATTTATTAAATTAACAGACACACAGCTATTCAATTTCAACAGGTATTCCATCAGTGGATCCCCGCTCTGCTAATATGGTCTCACCTGATTGGCTGGCGTTGGCGTGTGTCGTCGTATGGCTGTTACCATTGGTGTAGAGGGAGGTGGAGAGTGCAAGGGGGAGGGGGGTGTGTCGGGTGGGAACAGGTATGAAGGTGGGGTCCAGATCTAGGATCAGCTGGTTGAGCTGCTCGATGGACTCATCAATGTCTGTGGCTAACGAGGCAAGCTCCTCCTGCCCACAAGGTTCCCCTGAGGGCAACGGTGTGTGGGTGGTGTGTGTGGTGTGTATGGTGTGTATGGTGTGTGAGACATGTGTGTGACTGTCCGTCTTTACAGGCGACCCCACCCCTCCCTCCACTCCTCTCTGCACCGCCTCTCTGCTGCTGCTCCCCCTATTGGGCGTGTCTGGAAGTGACAAGGTGTTTGGACCAATCAGAGAAGGTGTATCCACAGGGCTGTCCCGCCCCCTGACGACTATCTGCTGCTGCTGCACCCATGATTGGGTGGTGTGGGTGGAGTGGGTGGAGTATCCATTTCCACTCTGGACCAATCCCTGGGCTTCAGGTAGGCTCTCAGAGGAGAACGAGCCAATGCTAGCCTCGGGGCTAACCTCGTCATCATAAAGGATGTCTGTCTCCCTCTCGCTAGGAGAGGCCTTCATGTTCACAGGCTGCCCTAACCCAGCCTTGTCCCCTTCCATCTCCCCCACTGTGTTACAGGAGGCTGGGAGATCAGTCATGTCCTTCAGATGAGGCTGAGCCGGCTCCAGGCCGACCCCAGATAGAAGCCGCCTGAGCTGGGTAAGTTCGTCCTGACTGGGCCCTCTCCTGGGGCTCCCTGCAGTAATACCTCCGGTCCACTGGGAGGTGATAGAGAGGCCTGAGTCGCTGCTGGCTGACAGTTTAAGGTCACTGGGGATAGGGCAGCTGGTTGCTGGGTGAAACGGAGCTCTTTCGTCACTACTTCCCTTCCTTACCCTGGCGTACAGCCTGCCATCGACAGGGTCCGGGCTACGAGGCAGAGCTGAGGAAGAGAAGAAGAGAAGAGAAAGAGTAAGACAGACAGCCATAACAAATAGGGAATATTTAGACACAGACACCTACTGACACATGCTTTACAACCTAGAACCCTCACCCTCTTCTCTTAGTCATCCTCTTACACACAGACACACACACATACACACACACATTCACAGATACACACACACACCTGACAGACGTTTGCCTTGTCTCCAGACCAGACACACTCCATCTAGATAAGAGCAGTGTCTTTGTGTGAGCTCTACGTTGTGTGTGTGTGTGTGTTTTTATCTGCGTAGTCGCTTGTGTCACATAAATAATACGCCAAGCCTGACAGAGAAGAGGACCCCTCCCTCCACCTGGGCTCTGATATGACAGATAGCACAGCATTAGCTTGTTAGCTAGCGTGTTCACAGTCAACAACCAGCACCGTTCAGTATGCAGGCAACACAAACACATGCTGCAGCACACCGCCTAACACCTAGCTCACCCAAACCAGAATGGAATACATTGAATATGAATGTACAAGTAAAGAATCTTATGCACATGGGACACAGTTTTTGAGGTGTTTGCGCTCAGTGTTGACACACAATGATGTTTGTAAGAATGTAACAACCAATCACAGAGTAAGATTCAAGACGTTGCTTTATCTGGAACGATTTTTGGGGAAACATATGGTATATGAAATTCTCCTCAGAGCACTGCATGGCATTGAATTAAAAAATATAAAAAATATAAAAAATGCACCTAGCTCAGCTAAACCATACAAACGCACACACCTATCAGCTTTTGTCCGTCAAACTCACACGACACTCCTGACTGGTTATGAGTGGAATAAAACCTCCAAAACGGATCTTACTTCAAGAGAAAATGGAAAGTGTAGAAAACATTTATGGAGAAGGCGGAAAATAATCGAAAAGCAGAGAAGAGAAGAGAGACAAAATAGTAGAGACAGTGAGAGCTCAATGAGGTGAGAGGTCACACACACACACAGTGACCTCTAAAGCGTAACCCTAACATCAGAGTAAACCAGAAAAGACAAGTGACTACTGCTGACTCTCTACTCGGCTCTATACAACTCCACAAAAAATGAAACACAAACAATTTCCTCACATACAGTGCTTTGCAAAAGTATTCAGACCCCCTGGACTTCTTTACAGTTTCTTGTGTTAGAAAGTGGGATTAAAATGTATTTAATTGTCATTTTCTGTCAACAATCTACACAAAATACTCTGTAATGTCAAAGTGGAAGAAAAAACAATTGTATTTTTTGATATAAAAAAACAACATAACTAAAATACATTAATTGCATAAGTATTCAGCCCCTTTGCTTAGGCAAGCCTAAATTAGTTCAGGAGTAAAATTTGGCTTAACAAATCACACAATAAGTTACTCTGTGTGAAATAATAGGGGTTGACATGATTTTTGAATGACTAACCCTTCCTCTATCCCCCATACATTCAACATCTGTAAGGTCCCTCAGTCAAGTATTTAAGTTCAAGCACAGATACAACTACAAAGACCAGGGAGCTTTTCGAAAGCCTCATAAAGAAGGGCAGTGATTGGTAGATGGGTAACAATAACAAATCAGACATTGAATATATCTTAAAGCATGGTCAAGTTAATACTAATGCTGTAGATTATGTATTAAATCACCCAGACACATCAAAGATACAGACGTCCTTCTGAACTGAGCTGCAGGACAGGAATGAAACGGCTCAGGGATGTTACCATGAGGCCATTGGTGATTTTAAAACAGCTACAGAGTTCAATGGCTGAGGATGGATCAACAACATTGTAGTGACTCCACAATAATGGCATAAATGACAGAGTGAAAAGAATAATACAAATATACAAAACATGCATCTTCTATGCAACAAGGCACTAAGGTAATACTGCAACAACAACAAAATACAGTAAAGGAATACACTTTTTGGCATAAATGCAAAGCATTATGTTTGGGGCAAATCCAACACAACACATCACTGAGTAACTGCCTCCTTGTTTTCAAGCATGGTGGTGGCTGCATCATGATATGGGTATGCTTGCCACCGGCAAAGATTGGGGAGTTTTTCAGAATGAAAAGAAACGAGATGGAACTAAGCACTGGTAAAATCCTAGAGAAATACCTGCTTTAGTCTGCTTTACACCAGACACTGGAGAGGAATTCACCTTTCAGCAGGACAATAACCTATAACACAAGGCTACACTGGAGTTGCTTACCAAGAAGACAGTGAATGTTCCTGAGTGGCCAAGTTACAGTTTTGACTTAAATCTGCTTGAAAATCTATGGCAAGACTTGAAAATTGCTGTCCAACATCTTGACAGAGCTTGACGAATTTTGAAAGAAATAATGGACAAATACTGCACAATCCAGGTGTGCAAAGCTCTTAAAGACTTACCCAAGAAGACTCACTATCGATGCCAAAGGTGTTTCTAACATGCATTGACTCAGGGAGCTGAATACTTATGCAACAACTCTATTTTAGGTATTTCATTTAATTTAATCTAAAAAAGTTTGAATTTTTCTTCCACTTTGACATTATAGAGTATTTTGTGTAGAATCCCACTTTGCAACACAATAAAATGTGAAGAAATCCAAGGGGTCTGAATACTTTTGCAAGGCACTGTATAGAATGATCTGTTGATATTAGATAACACACACACAATTTCCTCCATCTGTGGGAAGCTGTTGAGACAGACATTTCCTCCATCTGTGGGAAGCTGTTGAGACAGACATTTCCTCCATCTGTGGGAAGCTGTTGAGACAGACATTTCCTCCATCTGTGGGAAGCTGTTGAGACAGACATTTCCTCCATCTGTGGGAAGCTGTTGAGACAGACATTTCCTCCATCTGTGGGAAGCTGTTGAGACAGACATTTCCTCCATCTGTGGGAAGCTGTTGAGACAGACATTTCCTCCATCTGTGGGAAGCTGTTGAGACAGACATTTCCTCCATCTGTGGGAAGCTGTTGAGACAGACATTTCCTCCATCTGTGGGAAGCTGTTGAGACAGACATTTCCTCCCTCTGTGGGAAGCTGTTGAGACAGACATTTCCTCCATCTGTGGGAAGCTGTTGAGACAGACATTTCCTCCATCTGTGGGAAGCTGTTGAGACAGACATTTCCTCCCTCTGTGGGAAGCTGTTGAGACAGACATTTCCTCCATCTGTGGGAAGCTGTTGAGACAGACATTTCCTCACTCTGTGGGAAGCTGTTGAGACAGACATTTCCTCCCTCTGTGGGAAGCTGTTGAGACAGACATTTCTCCATCTGTGGGAAGCTGTTGAGACAGACATTTCCTCCATCTGTGGAAAGCTGTTGAGACAGACATTTCCTCCCTCTGTGGGAAGCTGTTGAGACAGACATTTCCTCCCTCTGTGGGAAGCTGTTTAGACAGACATTTCCTCCATCTGTGGGAAGCTGTTGAGACAGACATTTCCTCCATCTGTGGGAAGCTGTTGAGACAGACATTTCCTCCATCTGTGGAAGCTGTTGAGACAGACATTTCCTCCATCTGTGGGAAGCTGTTGAGACAGACATTTCCTCCATCTGTGGGAAGCTGTTGAGACAGACATTTCCCTCCATCTGTGGGAAGCTGTTGAGACAGACATTTCCTCCATCTGTGGGAAGCTGTTGAGACAGACATTTCCTCCATCTGTGGGAAGCTGTTGAGACAGACATTCCCTCCTCTGTGGAAGCTGTTAGACAGACATTTCCTCCATCGTGGGAGCTGTTGAGACAGACATTTCCTCCATCTGTGGGAAGCTGTGAGAGACAGACATTTCCTCCCTCTGTGGGAAGCTGTTGAGACAGACATTTCCTCCTCTTGTGGAAGCTGTTTGAGACAGACATTTCTCCCCTGGGAAGCTTTGGACAGCTTTCCTCATCTGTGGGAAAGCCGTTGAGACAGACATTTCCTCCCTCTGTGAAGCGTTTGAGACAGACATTTCCTCCCCCTCTGTGGGAACTGTTGAGACAGACATTTCCTCCCTCTGTGGGAAGCTGTTGAGACAGACATTTCCTCCCTCTGTGGGAAGCTGTTGAGACAGACATTTCCTCCCTCTGTGGGAAGCTGTTGAGACAGACATTTCCTCCCTGAAGAGCAACAATAACATACTCTTACTGTAACAACACATGTATAGTAGTATACACTCTTCGAAGAAAATGTGCTATCTAGAACCTTAAAGGGTTATTTGGCTGTCCCCATAGGAGAACCCTTTGTTGGTTCCAGGTTGAACCTTTTTGGGTTCTCCTATGGGGACAGCCGAAGTACCCTTTTGGAACCCTTTTATCTAAGAGTGTATAGATACAGTAACCATGTAGAACGTGATATAAAATTGCACTAGATGTTGATATTAGATTCCCTAAAGATATCTTAGCTAATGATCTATAACAGCTGGGGTCTCCTTCCTTCCAGACTTTTCATTAATGAAACGTTGGCTGCATCCCAAATGGCACCCTATTCCCTATATAGTGCATTACATTTGACCAGGGCCCATATAACGCTCGTCAAAAGCAGTGCACTATATAGGGAATAGGGTGCCATTTAGGATTCATTTCTTGTCTCATTCATAAAACAGCCTCAGCAGCCAGCAGAACCTAAAGAGCAGTAAAATAAAGCCGCTATAGATTCACAGCTACCTGTATAACACGCTAACCTGCAACATGTGTGGGTGCTTCTGAACCCGTTATGATGTCCAGATGGAGATCATAACAAAGCTACACACACACACACACGCATGCATGCAAAAACACACACACACACACACGTACATGCATGCACACACATTCACACACGCACACAAACACACACAATGATAAATACTTAGTGAAGTTCCTCAGTCCAGTGAGACTATGATACTCAAATACCAGACATGCATGGTAAAGCCTCACAGCTGGTCTAACAGACACACATACAGACACACACACAGACACACACAGACACACACACACATGCCTTCTAACTCATCACTGTAGCACATATTGAACAAGCAGCAACACAGACACAACTATTCCCTGTAACTGACACTAAATCCCCCCAAAAACAAAAAACAACCACACACAACATTTACTTCCGTAATACAACCAACCCCCCCCTTTCCCAAAAAACAACCACTCCAAAAATTCTTCCAAAACCAAAAAAACCCCCCCTTAAAAAAGAAGGGGAAAAAGGAAAAACGGGAAAAACCCGGTAAAAGGACCAAAAGAAAGAAAAAAAGAGAAAAAGAGAAAAATGGAAAATTAAAAACCGTTTGTGAGGCCCCTTTTGGCCCCCAGGGTAAAAAAAAAGAGGCTTCTTTCCCTTTTTTTAAAAGGGTAAGGGGCCCCAAAATTTTTTTTTCTCTTCCTTTTCCCCTTTTTTTTTAAAATGGGGCCCCCACCTATCCCTCTTCTTCCCCCTTCCCCTTTTCCCCCCCTTTTCCTCCCCCCTTCCCTTTTCCTCCCCCCCTTTCCCCCTTTCCCCCCCCCCCCTTTTTCCCCTTCCTTTTTTCCCCCTCCCCCAATCTTTTTTCCCCCCCTTTTTTCCCTTTCCCCTTTTTCTTTTCTTTTCCCCCCTCTCCCTCTCGGGCCCTTTTCTCTCCCTCTTTTCCCCTTTTCTCCCTTTTTAGCCCCGGGGCGGGTGGGGGCAAGGGAAGAAAAAAAGGGGGGGGGCCAAAAAAGGGGCTTTTTTCTTTTTTTTTTAAAAAAACCCCGGGGTTTAAAAAATTTTGGGGGGGGGAAAAAAAAAAAAAGGGGGGGAACTTTTTCCCTTCCCTCCCCCACTCTGTACCTCCCCGTGGGACGGGGGTGGGAAACCTCCTGGCCCCAAATAGAAAGGGGGGAGAAAGCTAGGAAGAAAAAAGGGAATCAAGAGAGAAGCTGAGAGGGGGAAGGTAAAGAAACGAGTGAATGTGGATTGTATTAGTGGGGGGAGGGCCCGGGGGGGGAAATTTTTAGAGAAAAAATTTTGCGGGAAAAGGGGGGGGGGAGAGAAAGGGGAAAAGAAAAGGGGGAGAAGGGCGAAAGAAAAAAAAGGGATTGGGGGGGGGGTTTGGGGGGGGTGGGGGGGGCCCCCCCCCCCGGGGTCCCGGGGGCCCCCCCGGGGGGGGGGGCGCGGGGGGGGGGGGGGGTGGGGAGGGGTGGGGGGGGGGGGGGGGGGGGGGGTGGGGGGGGGGGGGGGGGGGGGGGGGGGGGGGGGGGGGGGGGGGGGGGGGGCCCCCCCCCCCCCCCCCCAAAAAAGGGGGGGGGGGGGGGGTTTTTTTTTTTTTTTTTAAATTTTTTTTTTTCCCCCCCCTTTTTTGCCCCCCCTTTTTTTTTTTTTTTTTTTTCCCGGTTTAAATTTTGTTTTGGAGTTTTTTGTTTTGTTTAAATAAGTGTGTGTGTGTGTGTGTGTGGTGTGGTGTGGGTGTGTGTGGTGTGTGTGGGTGTGTGTGTGTGTGTGTGTGTGTGTGTGTGTCTGTGTGTGCTGTTTGGGTGGTTCTGTGTGTGTGATGGTTGTTTGTGAGTGGTGTGGTGGTATGCATATGTTTCTATAAATGTTTGCATGGTGCTTTGCCACAACTGCTTCCCAACGCGCCCGGGTCTGTCTAAATGACATGGCTGCCGATATAGACCTGGTATAAAACAGCTGGGACTCAAACCTTAATCACTGGCTGTAGTGATTGTTACAGTTGTCTGGTCCGGGGTAGTGTGTGTGTGTGGTGTGTGTGTGTGTGTGGTGTGTGTGTTGTGTGTGTGTTGTGTGTGTGTGTGGGGTGTGTGTGTGTGTGTGTGTGGTGTGGTGTGTGTGTGTGGTGTGTGTGTGTGTGTGTGTGGTGTGTGTGTGTGTGTGTGTGTGTGTGTGTGCATATGTTAGTATGTGTGCAAGTGTGCATGTGTTTTCATCAATTCTTAGTGACAAACCACTTGAAAAAGAACCAGCTTTAAATACCTAGCTGTGGCATGTCTGCTGTCCAGTGTTCTGAGAACCTTTCTACTACGCCCCTCCATTCCCTGGAAACACTGAAGTGTCTCGCATTATCGCATAACAACAGGATGCTAGCCATTCCTCGTCTACATTCTTACCACAGTATCATCACATTGGACATGAATCAGAATTTCACATAGAGTGGCCATAAAGTGGTTATAAAAAGGTAATATAGTAGATATTAGGGTCAAGGTTTAGGGTTAGATCCGGAGAATGACCAGGGTCTCCAAGAACCCCTGTCTCCATCAAACGTAACGCTTACCTGTGACATCCTGTGTAATAATGAAGTGCTATGCAAGCAGAGACAAGGAGAGAGGGAGCAATTACTCCAAAATAATGGAATGTCCTTCAGGAGAGATGTTAAATACCTAGTCCTTATGGAGAGATGTTACAATACCTAGTCCTTCTGGAGAGATGTTACAATACCTAGTCCTTCTGGAGAGATGTTACAATACCTAGTCCTTCAGGAGAGATGTTACAATACCTAGTCCTTCTGGAGAGATGTTACAATACCTAGTCCTTCAGGAGAGATGTTACAATACCTAGTTCTTCTGGAGAGATGTTACAATACCTAGTTCCTGGAGAGATGTTACAATACTCAGTCCTTCGGAGAGATGTTACAATACCTAGTCCTTCCGGAGAGATGTTACAATACCATATTCCTCGGGAGAGAGATGTTTACAATACCTAGTCCTTCGGGGAGAGATGTTACAATACCTAGTCCCAGGGGTAATACCTAGCCGGAGAGATGGTAATGACGATAGGCCTCTGGAGAGATGTACAACATGTGACTCAGGAGAGATGTTGACAATAACCTAGTCCTTTCAGGAGAGATGTTTACACTAACCTAGTCCTTCCTGGGAGAGATGTTACCAATACCTAGTCCTCTTCTGGAGAGATGTTATACAAATACCTAGTCCTTCTGGAGAGATGTTACAATACCTAGTCCTTCTGGAGAGATGTCCTCATAGGAGTCCCGTCGAACCAGGGGGTCCCAGGTATTGTAGTCCATGATGACAGAGGGTCCGTTTTGCCAGTGACCACTGCCTTCAGATGACAACAACCATATAGAGACAATTAAACAGAGCGAGAGAGAGCGACTGAGTAAGACAGAGACAACCTCTGTCATGGGTTTGTTGCACAACAGTCCAGCATTGTCAAGGAACACACATATACTCTATAACAACATCAGCTGATCCCTGTAGAGGACAATTTTTGTTTATTTACTTTCAAAATATTGTAGCAAATTAGGAAAATACGAATTCTTTCAGATTTTATTTTTTTTGGTTTGTGTGTGCACGTGCATGTGTGTGTGATTGAGTGTGTGAGTGTGCAAAGTGGGATGTGTTTATGTGTATGGATGGCTGAATCTTGAGCTCTGTGCAGTTCTGCTCTGTCTGTTTCTTTGCCTGTATCTGGGATCTGCATTCCTGGGTGATGTGTGTGTGATAAGAGCCTTTATTGTTTCCTGTTGAGTGGAGCAGAGAGTGTGTTACAGAGGTGTGTGTGTTACAGAGGTGTGTGTGTGTGTGTGTGTGTGTTACAGAGGTGTGTGTGTGTGTGTGTGTGTGTGTGTGTGTGTGTGGTGTGTGTGTGTGTGTGTGTGTTGTTGTGTGTGTGTGTGTGTGTGGTGTGTGTGTGTGGTGTACAGAGGTGTGTGTGGTGTGTGGTTACAGAGGTGGTGTGTGTTGTGTGTGGTTTGACTGGTGCAGGTGGTGTGTGTGTGTTACGAGTGTGTGTGTTGTGGTGTGTGTTGTGTAGTCAGAGGTTGTGTGGGGTGTGTGTGTGTGTGTGTGTGTTTTACAGTTACAGAGCTTTAGTGGAGCAGAGTGTGTCTGTCTGTCTGTCTGTCTGTCTGTCTGTCTGTCTGTGACTGTGTGTGTGTGTGTGTGTGTGGTGTGTGTGTGTGTGTGTGTGTGTGTGTGTGTGTGTGTGTGTGTGTGGTGTGTGTGTGTGTGTGTGTGTGTGTGTGTGTGTGTGTTACTGAGCTATCGCCTTCAGCCCCACAGGAATATACTAGCCCCGAGAGGATAGAGCCATTCCATCTCTACAGTGTGCTGAATACTGCCCCCTTCTGGAACGAGCAAGGAGGCACAGGTAGCTTTGGTCAAACCTTTTTGCACAATTTCTGCTCACACACACCTATTGTGAAAACTGGAAACAGACATGTCTGTGTGTCTGTTCAGACTCTAAATGAACAGGTGGTTTCAGAAGGATTGGTTTTGATTTGTGAGTGAGTCATGATATTTGTCTGTTCTGCTCTGTTCTGTTCTGTTCTGCTCTGTTCTGCTCTGTTCTGTTCTGTTGTGACGGCAGCTGACAGGATGTGTGACTGCAGGGTGAAGGGAGGTGACGGCAACAGATAGGATGTGTAAGAGCTATTTTGATAGGGTATATGTTTGTCTAGTTTGTCTGTTTTGGGCTGTCAGTTCTCACCACTAGAGAGCAGTCTCACTGAGGTTATGGGTCAGGTGGTGGCTCAGGTGTATAAGGTCACAGGTAACCATGTAGTAGTCATGCATGGGTGAACAGGTGGTTCACATGGTTTTTACCGCTATTCACAAGATTGCCTTTAACCCGGATTACTCAACCACAAATCATCACAACCATGGTAAATCATCAAGTTTAATCTGACTTCATATTATTTTATTAATTAAACGGGAACATCACCCAACCATATCTAAGTCTGGACATTACCTCATTAGCGTGTCAAAAACAGTTTGCATCACTCATACATTGTGGTGAATTGAAACTTTGCAATAGCCCTTACAAGATGTGTGACTGCAGGGTGACGGGGTTGGCAGGGGCTGTTAGTCAGCCACACCAGCTGTAGTTGTGGTCCAGGTGTGTGTTCGTTGGACCAATGGTGGTTTGAGGGGGAGATTAGGATTATGCCTAACTACGATGACGGCCGTGAATTACCTGGCATCTTCTCAGGACTTTCAGAGAACACCAACTCAACTTTCCCATTGTCTGGAAACCTGGGATCTGGAAAAAGGAGGAAAGTTGAACATCCATCACTATCTGTGTGTGTGCATGCGTACATGCATGTTTTTGCTTTTGTGTGTATTTCACACCTGCACTCATCACCTGGTGATTGGACCAAGGTTAGCCTGTGACTAAATTTACAGAGAGAGAGAGAGAGAGAGAGAGAGAAGAGAGCGAGAGATGAGAGAGAGAGAGCGAGAGAGAGAGAGAGATAGAGAGAGGACGAGAGAGAGATAGAGAGAGAGAGAGAGGAGAGAGAGAGAGAGAGAGTAGCATCATTGTAGTTAGGTCGACCGAGAGAGGACTGAAGGACTAGAGAATGAGAGAGCTGATGTGAGGAGAAGGAGGCGAGAGAGAGAGAGAGAGTAGTCATTCATTGTATTAGGCTTCCCAGTACTGTACCTATATAAGCTGTGTCAAGGTCTTCCTTGGGGAATAGCAGGTTGTGTCTGTGGATAATGCCAGTGTGAAACTGGAGCCTGAAGATGACCTCTCGGCTGGCTGTCTGGTGGTTTTCACCATAACACACCACCTGAACCACACACAGCAGACACAGACAGTTACCTCACCTGGCTGTCTATAAGGTTCATACAGTCATCCCAGACCACTGAGCTTTGTATAACATTACATTAAACTCCGGATTTTAAAAGTGCAGGGACTGTATATGAGTGTGATTATACCTACCATTATGTCTCCCTTCAGCAGTTGAGCTGGTTGCAGTACAAAGTAAACCCTGTCTGTCTGTACTGCACGGACGTGACTGTGGCAGATATAAACACACACAGAAAAAGTAAACAGACATTCACATTTACATTTTAGTCATTTAGCAGACACTCTTATCCAGAGCGACTTAAGTGAGTGGATACATTTTCATACTTTTTCGTACACATATTATTACCATGGTAACGCTTTATTTCCATAGTCCATCTGTAGATGCTCTACAGACTATCTACAGACTATTAGTAATATTTCAACAACTATCTACTAACCCTAACCCTAACCTTAACCCTTAAAGTAACTCTAGCCCTAACCTTAACACTTACCCTTATTCTAAACCTAACCCTAACACTACAATTTTATGGGGGGAAAAAGGGTTCCAAAAGGGTTCTGCAGCTGTCCCCATAAGACAGTGGTATTCAAAGTCGGGGGCGCAGGGAATTGCAGTGGGGTCGCCAATTATTATTATTTCTTATTGTATTTTTAGGAAGAAAAAATTAAGAGTACAGATTATTGTATGGGACAATATACAAAGTGTTTGAGAAAGATCATTAAAAAAAGAAAATGTATTGGTAAATGTATTTATTGGTTTCTTTCCATTTTGATAAGAGATGAAAATACAATGAATTTAGTCCCCTGTAGCTCAGTTGGTAGACCATGGAGCTTGCAACGCCAGGGTTGTGGGTTCGTTTCCCACGGGGGGCCAATATGAAAATGTATGCACTCACTAACTGTAAGTCGCTCTGGATAAGAGCGTCTACTAAATGAATAAAATGTAAATGTAAAATGTTATTTGTTGATGTAAAAATCTAAATTTACAGATTTTAAGGTTGTGACATTAGATTTGGGCAAAAGATTGGGTCCCCAGAAATTCTGGTGTAAAGAATGGGGTCCACGCTGGAATAGGATAACTATTTTTGGCTCCAGGTAGAACTCTTTTTGGTTCCAGGTAGAACTCTTTTGGGTTCCATGTAGAACCCTCTGTGTAAAGGGTTCTACATGGAACTCAAAAGGGTTCTTCAAAGTGTTATCCTATGGGGACAGCTAAGGAATCCTTTAAGTTTCTAGATAACACCTTTTTCTTTAAGAGTGTAACCGTAACCTTAGCAAGCAGTTGCTTTTCAACAGATAGTTTGTTGATAGTATGACCATCTGTAGAGCATCAAATGAAGTGTGAACGAGAATGGTATCTCACTAGACTGCTGAAGTGCAAACGGCCTGCAGGCTCTGGTACACTCTCAGGAACAGACGACATCCTGGAGACAACACAAACAGGAAATATACAGCGCTAATTCAGTAGTGCATCATAAAATGTATATCTGAGAACAGTGTGTATCACTGTGATGTGAGAGGTGTAGTATGGTGTTTCTATCTGTGTTTCTAACCTCCCTCAGAGTTGATGTTGGGCACGCCGTGAAGAACCACACAAAGGAGGAAGAGAGGAGAGGGATCCATCTTCATCACTCCCTTCAGCAGACTGCTGAACATCCACACATACCTAGAGAGAGAGAGAAAGAGAGAGGGGGGGGGGGGGGGGGGGGGGGTTGTATGTCAAGTGATTGACCTCCCAAGTCTGACACCTGACCGCTGTAATAGCAGGTAAAAAATCAGAACAAGGAAGCCCTCAGCCAGAAGGCCACATCTGAAGCTCACTGATGACCAGAGAGTTGACCTTTGAACTATATTCATCTGTTGTGCAGAGGAGCTTCTGTGAACTTGAAGTCAACCAATCAGATTTGCTGTGTGTGGGGTGGTTTCTTACCGTTTCTGCGAGGGAGTCATCAGGGAGGATACTTTGTCGTTGTAGAACCTTCTCATGGCAAAGTGGTCTAGACCCAGGTCTGCACTGAGGGAGACACACACACATTCAGTCTAGACCCAGATTGCACTGAGGGAGACACACACACACTGCATGAAAAGGCACATTTACAGGTCGAACACTCCAGTGCACGGACATGTATATGTCCGGAAACGGTTCAGTAAATCGCCTTTGACGTCAGTTGCACTAAATCTCTGTCCACGTCCGCCCAATCTCTCTCATAAATGTCAGTAAATAATCGTCAACTTGCTCAAGGTTGCACATGCTTATTCTCCCTACTGAATGCTGATGCTAGTCATTGCTAGCTTGCCTTAGTTTGTTCTTCTTATTATCTTATAGTTACGTTATATAGTTACTTTACCCTGCCTTTATGTACATATCTACCTCAAATACCTTGTACCCCTGCACATTGATCTGTACTGGTACTCCCTGTATATAGCTTAATTATTGTGTATTTTATTTCTCCTGTGTTCCTATATATAATATATTTAAAAATATATTCTGCATCATTGAGAAGGGCTCGTAAGCAAGTATTTCACAGTAAAGTAAAGATTTGATTTGACTGGTACAGTGGGGAGAACAAGTATTTGATACACTGCCGATTTTGCAGATTTTCCTACTTACAAAGCATGTAGAGGTCTGTAATTTTTATCATAGGTACACTTCAACTGTGAGAGACGGAATCTAAAACAAAAATCCAGAAAATCACATTGTATGATTTTTAAGTAATTAATTTGCATTTTATTGCATGACATAAGTATTTGATACATCAGAAAAGCTGAACTTAACATTTTGGTACAGAAACCTTTATTTGCAATTATGTTCTATTGGGTTCAGGTCTGGAGACTGGCTAGGCCACTCCAGGACCTTGAGATGCTTCTTACGGAGCCACTCCTTAGTTGCCCTGGCTGTGTGTTTCGGGTCGTTGTCATGCTGGAAGAGCCAGCCACGACCCATCTTCAATGCTCTTACTGAGGGAAGGAGGTTGTTGGCCAAGATCTCGCGATACATGGCCCCATCCATCCTCCCCTCAATACGGTGCAGTTGTCCTGTCCCCTTTGCAGAAAAGCATCCCCAAAGAATGATGTTTCCACCTCCATGCTTCACGGTTGGGATGGTGTTCTTGGGGTTGTACTCATCCTTCTTCTTCCTCCAAACACGGCGAGTGGAGTTTAGACCAAAAAGCTCAATTTTTTGTCTCATCAGACCACATGACCTTCTCCCATTCCTCCTCTGGATCATCCAGATGGTCATTGGCAAACTTCAGACGGGCCTGGACATGCGCTGGCTTGAGCAGGGGGACCTTGCGTGCGCTGCAGGATTTTAATCCATGACGGCGTAGTGTGTTACTAATGGTTTTCTTTGAGACTGTGGTCCCAGCTCTCTTCAGGTCATTGACCAGGTCCTGCCGTATAGTTCTGGGCTGATCCCTCACCTTCCTCATGATGTGGTCCTCTGTAGCTCAGCTGGTAGAGCACGGCGCTTGTAACGCCAAGGTAGTGGGTTCGATCCCCGAGACCACCCATACACAAAAAAAATGTATGCACGCATGACTGTAAGTCGCTTTGGATAAAAGCGTCTGCTAAATGGCATATTATTATATTATTATGATCATTGATGCCCCACGGGGTGAGATCTTGCAAGGAGCCCCAGACCGAGGGTGATTGACCGTCATCTTGAACTTCTTCCATTTTCTAATAATTGCGCCAACAGTTGTTGCCTTCTCACCAAGCTGCTTGCCTATTGTCCTGTAGCCCATCCCAGCCTTGTGCAGGTCTACAATTTTATTCCTGATGTCCTTACACAGCTCTCTGGTCTTGGCCATTGTGGAGAGGTTGGAGTCTGTTTGATTGAGTGTGTGGACAGGTGTCTTTTATACAGGTAACGAGTTCAAACAGGTGCAGTTAATACAGGTAATGAATGGAGAACAGGAGGGCTTCTTAAAGAAAAACTAACAGGTCTGTGAGAGCCGGAATCCTTCCTGGTTGGTAGGTGATCAAATACTTTTGTCATGCAATAAAATGCAAATTAATTACTTAAAAATCATACAATGTGATTTTCTGGATTTTCGTTTTAGATTCCGTCTCTCACAGTTGAAGTGTACCTATGATAAAAAAATTACAGACCTCTACATGCTTTGTAAGTAGGAAAACCTGCAAAATCGGCAGTGTATCAAATACTTGTTCTCCCCACTGTATATTAAAAACACAATACATTTTTAAATGAATGAATGAATTACAGTGAATTATGAATGAATGACTTTTAATTATTTGTATTATTAATATCACATCAGGGTTCCTACACCTTTTCAGAAGTAAAATTCAAGCACCACTATCAAGGTTTTTCCAGCACCTCACAACATCCCTATACTAAAACATCTGTTAGTTCCTTGAAAAAAACACACAAATCCACTTAATCACTTTATTTCAGTAGAGCAGGAGAAAGCAGGTAATTGTATATGCATTTCTGCTAAGCAGGGCCTGAAACTAAAGTAAACCCCATTGAGGCTCGACCTGGGCCAAGCTGGTTGACTCCTGCCAGTACTCGTGGGGGGTGGGGGGGGGGTCATACCTCAGATAGAGGAATATTCTAAATTTAAAGATCAACTAGTACTGACAGGAGTCATCCAGCTTGGCCCATGGCGAGCCTCCATTGCTATAGTGTTGAGGGTTGAGGGGTCCGTGGGATCTAGGTTGCCTTGAAAAAAACTCCCCAGACATGAGCCGTGTGGTGTGGCTCAACAAGGTGCTCTGGTCCCTCTCCAAGCGTCTCTGTAGTTCTTGACAAAGCCACACTGGTTTGTCGTTTTGCAGGGCATCCTCCTCATCGCTCCTCAGGTCAACATGAACTCCTATCCAAATGTCTCTCTCATCCTCTGCAAGCATTCTCGACCATGCACATAGAAGCAAAAAACAAATAGGACAATACAACACAGTAAACAAATGCATCAGTCTCAAATCAAATCAAATTGTATTTGTCACATGCACCAAATAAAACAGATGTAGACCTTACCATGAAATGCTTAATTACGAGCCCTTAACCAACAATGCACAGTTTTCAAAAAAATAAAAAATAAAATAACAATTACAATAAAATAACAATTACGAGGGTACGGGTTAGTCGAGGTAATTGAGGTAATATGTACAGTCGTGGTCAAAAGTTTTGAGAATGACACAAATATTAATTTTCACAAAGTCTGCTGCCTCAGTTTTTATGATGGCAGTTTGCATATACTCCAGAATGTTATGAAGAGTGATCCCTCTTTGCCATGAAAATAAACTTCATCCCAAAAAAACATTTCCACTGCATTTCAGCCCTGCCACAAAAGGACCACCTGACATCATGTCAGTGATTCTCTCGTTAACACAGGTGAAAGTGTTGACGAGGACAAGGCTGGAGATCGCTCTATCATGCTGATTGAGTTAGAATAACAGACTGGAAGCTTTAAAAGGAAGGTGGTGCCTGAAATCATTGTTCTTCCTCTGTTAACCATGGTTACCTGCAAGGAAACACGTGCCGTCATCATTGCTTTGCACAAAAACGGCTTCACAGGCAAGGATATTGCTGCTAGTAAGATTGCACCTAAATCAACCATTTATCGGATCATCAAGAACTTCAGGAAGAGAGAGGTTCAATTGTTGTGAAGAAGGCTTCAGGGCGCCCAAGAAAGTCCAGCAAGCGCCAGGACCGTCTCCTAAAGTTGATTCAGCTGCGGGATCGGGGCACCACCAGTGCAGAGCTTGCTCAGGAATGGCAGCATGCAGGTGTGAGTGCATCTGCACACACAGTGAGGCAAAGACTTTTGGAGGATGGCCTGGTGTCAAGAAGGGCAGCGAGGAAGCCACTTCTCTCCAGGAAAAACATCAGGGACAGACTGATATTTTGCAAAAGGTAAAGGGATTGGACTGCTGAGGACTGGGATAAAGTCATTTTCTCTGATGAATCCCCTTTTCGATTGTTTGGGGCATCCGGAAAACACCTTGTCCGGAGAAGACAAGGTGAGCGCTACCATCAGTCCTGTGTCATGCCAACAGTAAAGCATCCTGAGACCATTCATGTGTGGGGTTTCTTCTCAGCCAAGGGAGTGGGCTCACTCACAATTTTGCCTAAGAACACAGCCATGACTAAAGAATGGTACCAACACATCCTCCGAGAGCAACTTCTCCCAACCATCCAAGAACAGTTTGGTGACGGACAATGCCTTTTCCAGCATGATGGAGCACCTTGCCATAAGGCAAAAGTGAAAACTAAGTGGCTCGGGGAACAAAACATCGACATTTTGTGTCCATGGCCAGGAAACTCCCCAGACCTTAATCCCATTGAGAACTTGTGGTCAATCCTCAAGAGGCGGGTGGACAAACAAAACCCCACAAATTCTGACAAACATTGATTATGCAAGAATGGGCTGCCATCAGTCAGGAAGTGGCCCAGAAGTTAATTGACAGCATGCCAGGGCAGATTGCAGAGGTCTTGAAAAATAAGGGTCAACACTGCAAATATTGACTCTTTGCATAAACTAAATGTAATTGTCAATAAAAGCCTTTCACACTTATGGAATGCTTGTATTTATACTTCAGTATACCATAGTAACATCTGACAAAAATATCTAAAAACACTGAAGCAGCAAACTTTGTGAAGACCAATACTTGTGTCATTCTCAAAACTTTTGACCACGACTGTACATGTATGTAGGGGTAAAGTGACTATGCATAGATAATAAACAGAGTAGCAGTAGCGTATGTGAAGAGTGTGAAGGAATGTGAATGCATGTGTGTGTGGCGTCAATATGCATGTGTGTGTGTTTTGTGTGTGTGTCCGTGTGTGTGTGTTTGTGTTGGAGTGTCAGTGTAGTATGTGTGAGTGTAGTCCAGTGAGCGTACATTGAGCCTGTGCAAGAGAGTCAGTGCAAAATAATATAATAAATAAGAATAAAATAAGGGGGTCAATGTAAATATTCCGCGTAGCCACTATAGAGCAGGTGGTGGAATTCAACATCTGTTTTCATTCCACTCTTCTAGACTCAAATA